CATTATCTTCTTTAGGTTTGTATGGGTCTTTATCCACTTCAAGGGATCTAACAACCATTGGTGTGCTAAGTTCATGAGATTTATTCATTTAAAATCTCTCCATGACCTTCTTCAGGTAGGTTGACTGGTATACCAATATTTCTTTAGAAACATGCTCGATCTGCAGGTCGAGACAAAATTTTCCATCAGTGACTTTCATATAAAAATATTAGCGTCTAATGACTCATATTAAAATGTGGTCATGACGTACATATACTGCATATATAAATTCATAGTTTCTGCCATATTAACTTGCGGAACGTAATACAATCACTAATAGGAGAATATTTTACATCTAAATCGATGTCGGGTCTCTGCGTGAACCCATTTAGCTATGAATCTCGCTTTATATCTCACCACCTTACAATTCTCATTTATTTTTCTTATGAAGACCCATTTATATACTGTAGGGATATATGGACTATAGGTTGAAAATACTTTAGCGAGTTCAGCTCAGCCTCAATTGCTACTTTCCATCTCACCTAGTCCGAGTGCTTCAAGCACTCTGCTACCGACTTAGGTTCTGGATCCAGATTATTTTCGGAGATAGTAAGAGCAACTGTAGAGGCAACTATGTTGTCGACAACTTTTATATTTCTATTATATATTTCTCTTTTTTCACAAATTCGTGGCCACTTTAATTCTTATTTTATGTTAACCAAATCCTTGTCATTTCCCTTAACAATTGGATTTGGCCGTTCCGCATCTCCAGTATTGTGATTATCAAGTGCACGTGCAATTTACTGGAGATTCCATCTTCAGGATGAACCTCTTCTGGAGGTTATGAGAGTGATTGTCTTTCTATATATATAATTTAGTTTGTCGCGGACTTTTATCTTTTACACTAACATGTTTTATATGCTTCTGGCACAATATGCTTCTGGCATACCAAATCATCAATGATATATTTAACATGAATATGGGGCTTAGTCACTCTTTTCTTGGCAGATTATCATTTGAACTTCTGGTTCAGTTTGACTAGTACGTGGATATAAATATTGAAGATCTTTTTCACCAATAGAATTTCTTGACATTATTTTGTATTTTGGGCACTAATCTCCCCCTAATGTCGAGAATTGATCTTCAATAAAAAATACAGTCAGCGTACTAAATTGTAAATTGATCCTCTAACATGGGCCATAGGTACTAAATTATTGACGGAGTTTCATAAATAATGTATGTACCTTCACCGAGGTCCCATAGAGGTACGCTATATGGTGGTGATATAGAAACATGGACTGCAAATAAATAATACGCAGATGGGAAATGTTTTGCTTCTACACCACGTATTAGATAAAGGGGGAAAATTGTGATATGCAGTTGGTCGGATTTAGTTTGAATGCCCCATTTAATTTAAGGAAATCCAATAAATCATATTTTGCCCCAGATGACCCCCAATCGCTCATGCCAGAGTTTAAAAGAATTTGGGTCCCTAAATCTTAAATTCATCGCAACATGGTGTATTTTAGGTCGGATATATGTATAGTACAACCCTGAGGAGAAAGATGGAAACTTCTCCACAACCACGTATTAGATAAAGGGGAATAATCATTTAAACAAAACTCATACAAACTTAAAATTATCTTACAAAAACATGCAAAATAAGTCTCGAAAAATTCCAAATCATCTTAACAAAAATAACTAGAACATGTCTGAAAAAAAAACGAAATAGACTAATAAAACATGCATAGTGATAAATAACATGATCACTCATGTTCACCAAAATCATCAAGCTCCATCTTCAATAAGTCATCATCGTCCAGATTCAGGTTATCATCATAATTGTCATCTTTTAGGGCCATGTTTGCTTCAGGCAAACTAGCATGATGTTTTTCACCTTGTTTTGACTTCCCCTTTGGGTCCTTCATCATTCTCTGATAGGCCTCAACCAAATGTTTCGGTGTACGACATGTGCGAGACCAGTGGTCCTCACATCCACACCGATAGCAAGCTTGCTTGTTATTAGCAACCTGTTGATGAGAGTTAGGCTTGTTTGAAGGAGATCTATCCTTGTTCTGACCCTTGCCACGGTCCTGAAGACCATAAGCATTGCGACGACCACGACCTCTACCACCACGATAAGACCCGCGACCACGTCCACGACCTCTACCATGTCCACGCCCATGAGTATTACTCTGATTTGTGGCATGTGCTTCAGGCACAGCTTGCGAACCAACTGGTCTAGAATTATGGTTGCGCATCAGAAGTTGGTTGTGTTTCTCTGCAACTAGTAACGCAGAGATCAATTCAGAGTGTTTTGAATAGTTTTTGGTCCTGTACTGCTGCTGGAGTATAAGATTACTTGCATGGAATGTAGAGAGGGTCTTTTCAATCAATTCATCTTCTGTAATGTTCTGCTTACAGAGCTTCAGCTGTGAGACAATGCGGTGGAGAGTTGAATTGTATTCAGTTACGGATTTAAAATCCTGAAATCGCAAGTTCAACCAATCATATTGTGCTTGCGGAAGCATAATAGTCGTCTGTTGGTCAAAGCGATCCTTCAGGGATTGCCAGAGAATATCAGGATCTTTTTCAGTAAGGTACTCATTTTTCAGGTCTTTGTTGAGATGATGACGAAGAAAAATCAATGCCTTTGCCTTCTGGGCAGAGGTGCTCTGAGAAGCTGGATCAATAGTGCTGCTTAAATCACAAGAATCTAGGTAGATTTCAACATCCAAGGACCAAGTCAAGTAGTTGCTGCCATCAACGGCAAGCTCAGCAAATGCCCGTTTGGATATGTCAGACATTTTTTTTAGAAATGCTATAATTATCAAAAGAAGATATATCAATCCACCAAATTTATAAAATATTACACTATACAAGATGTGCATACAAACAGAAGTGAATAAATAAAGGAGCCACAGTGCATGCCTCTGTTCTAATTAGGTAGGACAAGTGATCAATCAATAGAAGGTGTGCATTTGTAAATTGTATTAAACCAGACGGGGTGAGTAATTAAGTGGGATCATCTTCAAGGGGTGTCCTTTTAATGTGTAGATAAGAAGTGATCATCTCATAACTAAGGACCAATGTCCAAGGATACCCATATTCCTTGTATATAATACACATATGAGTGTGTGCAAGTGTTTTTGTACACACCAGACCATTAGCATATTATCATTTTTGTACTTCCCGATCGGAAAGAAAGATTAAATTTAGAATTGCGACTTCTATGTAAAATTGCATCTCCGGTTCGTGCTGATAACGTGTTGTAATATACAGAATAAATGAAACAAGAAATAGACAAGAGACAAGAGAAATTGTAATTTTATTCATTCTTCATTTCTCACTTACAATTTGTAGTCCATGACATACATTATATAGATGGATAATAAGAAGACTAAAGATCATGGGCTAATGAAGAGTCACATAATTAATTATCCATATTCAAGTAATGTCCACATTCATTTAATCTTCTAGATTTCAACAAATTTGATAATTTATCGTGTAGTTATAAGAAAAGAATAATAAAAATAATGAATAGATTGTTAGCTACTTAGCTTTAGGTGGAGTTCAAATCTTATTAGAACCCCCCACTACGCGGGGGATTCTGCACCATATACGAAGGCAGACAAATACAAAAATGGCCCCCTAATTGACCGGTCAAAAGATCAAAACTTCTTCACCTGCGAGAAGTTTTGGTAGAATCCAAACTTGCAAAGGTATTACACTGTGAAGTTATGGAGGATAGCGTTAACGGGTGTTTGGTTCACCTATTTTATAGAAAAGTTTTGGAAAAACATCTGACAATGATATTTTTGTAAATAGTATATTTCTATAGATTTCTATAAATTATGTTTAGGTCAAAAAATTTATAGAAATATTTTCTATAAAGTAGGGAAAAGTAGGGTATTTTATAGAAATTAACTTCCTCTCTAAAATGAGAGGAAATTACTTAGAAATCTAATATTTATATAAAAAAAAACAATTAAGTACACACATACCCCATTTCTCCACCCCCATGTGATTTCCCATGGGCATTGTTAAGAACCTATTTTCTATAAAGTTATATCCAACCAAACAAAAGAAAAAGAAAACAAGGTATTTTCTATAAAGTTACGAACTTTATCATGTTTTGAACCAAACAAAAAATAGCAAAAACAAGAAAAAAGACACTTTGAGTTTTATAAACTTTTCATACAATTTTTTGTAGAAATATAAGGAAATCAAAATTTGAGCATTTTTTCTTTTCCTCTTTTTTTATAGAAATTGAACCAAATAGGCCCATAGTGTCATGGACAAGGACATATCTAAGAGGTGCTGTAGGTGGCAATTGCACCCAAATACGTTTGAGATTTTTTTTTTGTTGTTACAACAATATTTTGATGTTGCAAGAACATCTAACTAAACAATACTTTTAAATTTTAGATGCAACTGGAACAACACTCAAATAATAGTGTTGCGACATTATGAATTGGAAGTTTGGAACACCATAAATATTTATGTTCCAACTCCTAATAAAACATACTCTAGATTCATTTAAACTTAATAGTCTAATTAGAATTTCAAGTCAAATACGCCTAAACACTAAAAAACCAAAAACCGAAAACACGAACAACACAAAAAAAATTTGAAAAAAAATACATTACTCAAAATTCTCTATTATATCTATGGATTCAATTTGTGTGATCCCAAAGTCAAAAAGGTAGAAACCCTAATCTTCCTTTTGCATTCCCATTAGATACTATAATTTTATAATATTATATTTTTATTTCTAGATAAATAATTATTGATGATTCGCCTCCAGAGAAATTTTTTCTGGATCCCACACTGGTCATGGATCTACTAGTTTAAAAAAGCCAACTGTAATTATAAATGAACAGATTGCAAGAAGAAACTAAACATCGCAAATAAAATTTAAATTAAACGAAATAATCCAATCTAGATAGTATAGGGTTAAATCTCATGTCCGTTTCAGTAAAATCCGCTCGTACTATATAAACCCCCTCATTTCACGAATAAACACTCACTGACAAAAAGGGCAATTAAAAAAAAAAGAAGAAGCGGCAGAAGCAGAGCGATGGCCGCCGCTTGTTCACTTCGATCCGATGCCTCTCTCCTCTCCTCCTCCTCCTCCTCCTCCATCGCCGGCGGACGATTACTCCACCGATCCGCTGCTGGTTCTCGTCGCCGGGGATGGATTTCTGCCGCCGCATCGACCTCCGTTCCTCCGGTTCAAGGGCGATGTAAGTCTAGGGCTTTTTTAGGGGTTTCAAAGTAATTTCAAGAAAGTTCGTGATTTGCTCTCTGAATGTGGAGTTTAGGGCTACCGAATAATCTAATTGCAAAAATGTAAATTTGTTGTGCTGAAATTATTATTATTTTAATAGAACGTGTATTAGCAAAATGCAAGTTTAGGGTTTAGGAGTTTTAAGCGGCTTGTTTCTTTTGAGGGCAAGGATATGGATAAAGATTTGATTTTTCCTGTTAAAGCAAATTTAGTTTTTGTGAATGCAGGGTTTAGGGGATTTTCAGTAATCGTGGGAAAGTTCATGATTTCTGGACTGGATGTAGAGTTTAGGGGTTCTTTGTGTGTGTTTGAGGGCGAGAAAATGGATATTGATTTGGTTTTTTCGCATGTTATTGTGAGTTAGATTTTGAGCACACTATTTTCAGGGAAGTTAATGATTTGCAGTCTGAATGTAGAGCATACAGATGCTTGTTGTGTTTGAATGCGATAAGGTGCATACGGATTTGATCTTGTATGTTATTAAAATTTTGGCTTTGAGGTTGGGAGTAGTCTAATAGCAAAAATGTAAATTGGTTTTGGTAAAATGTTTAAATATGTATTTTGTAAGACAGTTTCTTACACCTAAAGTAGATAGAATAATCAACCTGATCTACTAGAGGAATCGTGTACTAATTTGAAATTTCATGATATGTTGTCTGAATGTAGATTTTAGGGCTCCTTGATGTGTTTGAGCTCAAGAAAACGGGTAAAGCTTCAATCTTTATGCTATTTTAAATTTACATATTGAGGATGGGAGTGATCTAACATAAAAAATGTAAAATTTTTTCTGTTAAGATTTTTAAATGTGTATGTTTAGATAAAAGAAGAGTGAACGTAAACTTACTGGAAACAAATTTGTAGCAATGTTGAATTCAAGCTTATTCTTTTCCTTTACTTTGTTGAAATTCTACATGGTTTAGTATCTAAAAGGCAAAACTTTAGTAGAGGCCCCTGTTGTATTGGCCAAACATCACTTGGTTCCTTAATGTTTGGAAGTCATAACAGGGGTCCCTAATGTTACCTTCGTCATCAGCCTAGATCCTTTTTACAAAATTCCATTAAATTTTGATAACATGGTGATGACGTGGCCCTGCCATGTCATTGCCACATCAGTAAAAAAATAGTGAAATTCCAAGTTTAATACAAGCTTGTAATTTTACCTTTTTTTTATGTGGCATGATTAAGTTGGACTTTCACTAATTTTTTTGCTGACATGGCAACGCCACATGATTGCCACATCATTAAGATTTAATAGAAGTTTGTAAAAAGGATCTAAGCTAATGACAGAGATAACGTTAGGGACCCCGGTGAAGACTTACAAACATTAAGGCTCCAAATGATATTTGGCCAATACTTAATGGATCTCTACTGAACTTTTGCCTATCTAAACTCATGTAAGTCCTTGTGTTATTCATGAGAGACAGTTTTGCTCTGAACAAAAATATTCTACTTTTAGATTTTTTTAAACATTTTCTCTGAATTGAACTAAATTAGATAAAGTGATGCTCCTAAGTCGTATCAAAGATATGCTAGTTTTTCCCCCTATATGACCTGAAATTTATGTCTTAGTTGAGTTGGATGTTTATGTATATTTGGCTTGTACTTTATTTGTTATGTGATGTTGATGAAATGTAGGATCACGACTGGCCATCATAATCCTATATGTATTTAAATTGTTTGGACCAACTGCATTGTGTCTACATTGTTTGCTCCGGTTGCATTATTCAGATTGAACTCAGTTGTCTGAATTTCTTAGATATCAAGTTTTTTGTGATCTTCTGATTAGCAATGTGCATATATTTTTATTACTTCACCATTAGGATGGAAATCCATACATTTTTTAATAGCTAAGATGAACGTAAGTAATCAATTTGTGTTGTGCACTTTTCCAGCAAAAACAGCACTGAAGGATTTTATCCATATAAGTGACTTTGACAAGGCAACAATCATGAATATCCTTCAACGTGCATCTGATGTCAAGGCTCTGTTGAAGTCAGGAGATAGGTCTTTTCTCCCTTTTAAAGGGAAGAGCATGGCAATGATTTTTACTAAGCCATCCATGAGGACACGAGTTTCATTTGAGACAGGGTTCTTTTTGCTCGGTGGACATGCGATATACTTAGGTCCTGATGATATCCAGATGGGAAAGCGAGAGGAAACCAGGGATGTTGCTCGAGTTCTTTCTAGGTACAACGACATCATTATGGCACGTGTATTTGCTCATCAGGTACGATGGTGAGTCTCAAGTATTAATGTTCTTCACTTAAATTACCAAGTGGACCAGTATCATATGATGAAATATGAACGTGAAACGTATACAGATATGCTTTAAAATTTTCCCATGGATATCAAGTTAGCATATTTGTTTTTGGGGTTCCCACATGCACTATACTAATGTTATACATAGAATGCCAGAATCACAACTTGAAAAAGTTCAATTAGTTGGTTAAGAATGTATTTAAGAACTCAATGTACATTAAAAGAAGTTAAGTTTCCAGTGTATCATCCAAATACATAATAGAATATCTCAAAAAACTCTTTTATAACATATAGGTTGAATTATTTGTCATTCGTCAACCAAAAGATCTGTATGGGCTTAGATGTCTACTCTGAAAACCCTCATACACGGGGGTTCAAGAGTTTATCTTACAGAATTCACATTAATTATCATACTAACGTTTAATTAACTCACATTGTTACTTCTATTTCTTACTTGTTTCCGTTGCAGGATATTCTTGATTTGGCAGCATATGCTACAGTGCCAGTCGTCAATGGCCTGACTGATTATAACCATCCATGCCAGATCATGGCTGATGCTCTAACAATAATAGAGCATGTTGGTCATTTAGAAGGAACCAAGGTTAGAGATTTCTTGATTTGTTAGTTAATCTCTATGAGTTCAGTTCAGATTTCTGTGTTCAACAAACTTCCTGATTTTAGGAAATATATTTCAGGTTGTATATGTTGGTGATGGGAATAATATCGTGCACTCATGGCTTCTATTAGCAGCTGTTGTTCCTTTTCACTTTGTATGTGTTTGTCCAAAAGGATTTGAACCAGATGCGAAGACTATTGAGAAGGCAAGGAGTGCTGGGATTAGCAAAATTGAAATAACAAATGATCCCAGGGAAGCAGTAAAGGGAGCTGACGTAGTGTATTCAGATGTTTGGGCTAGTATGGGCCAAAAAGAGGAGGCTGAATATAGGAATAAAAAGTTCCAAGGGTTTCAGGTACTCGTTCATCCTGTACCTCCCTTTTTATAGTTCTTTTGCTAATTCATAATTGATTAAAGTAGTCTTTTAAAGTTTTAAGTGAGCTTAATCCTCAATCAAACACCGTGAGGCAGCTCATTTTAATTGTTTTTTCTTTACATAATTTTATTTTCTTTCACTACTGCGAGAGGAGGTACTTCATCCTAATCGTTTACTGGTTAAGGTTGATTAATCCTCGAATATCATTCTTTTGGAAATTCTCTGCATTTTCTTAGACAAGTTGCAAGCTTGAAGGCTAGAGATTATAATTTGTAGTGCCTCTAGTTATACTGCATTAATAGACCTATTTTAAGTTCTCACCTGAATTCTGGATCGCCTGGTGTACCCAAAAAGCTTTATAAACGTGGTTCAGGACTGTTAAACTTGTCACGATACTTGAGAGAGCATTATGACTAATAATATATTTTTAATCTGAAAATTTAACATATTATCTGATATCTGTGAGAAATACAGGCTTACTCGGCAACTTAATTTGTTGGTATTAGCATAATTTTTGTGGGAGTTTGGTCCAAATCTTAGCTGATCTCACACCAAAAAATTAAAAGAACACAAAAAGGCCCATTCATGTAAAAAGTGTCCTCCCTTTGTATCATATGCATGCAGACATCTGTGTATATTTCTGTTCTTTTTTCTTTTTACCATTTTTACTGTATGTTCATATCAAAGTTGCAGCAATAGTTTATATAAGTCTCATTTATAACATTTGTGGTATTTGCAGGTGGATGAAGCCCTAATGGAGATGGCAGGATCAAAAGCACACTTCATGCACTGCCTACCAGCGGAGAGAGGAATTGAAGTCACCGATGGAGTTGTGGAAGCCCCCAATTCCATCGTCTTCACTCAGGCTGAGAATCGCATGCATGCCCAAAATGCTATCTTGCTCCATGTATTTGGTGTCTAGATCTTGTAATTTATTCCTATTAATAGGAAGTAGCTGTGTAATGAGGTTATAGATCCTGTCAATAGTCAGGATTCTGTTTGACTCTGTTTTATTGGACTCGTTATCATGTATTTGATACTGTAGACTTTATCCCTTTTTGGGTACAACTATTTGCATAAGGCTGAAGACGCTATTTCATTGGACTCTTTATCGTTGTAGGATTAAGCCTGGACTTGATACTGTACACTTTCACCCATTTTTGGGATAAATGTTTGCATAGAGTGAATATGAGAGTGGTATGTTATTATTCCGTTTTTACAAAGGTGAGCAGCGAAATCTATTGATCGGTCGGCTAATATTTGAATAATTTTCTGCTATTAAAATGTTTAAAGTTTCTCAGAAAACTGTATGCCAACTTCTCGAATGAGGGAAATTTGCCCATGGTACATTACTCATTGCTTCAATATGCATTATTTACTTCTAACTTTTGTTGTCTTCGGCAACTTCTTATTTTGTGCGCTTAGGACAACTGCTGCTCTTTTTGGGTGCAACATTTAGAACTGAAACTAAAATTGTTTTGAATATATCTTTATGTTGTCTGCATCTATATACAATAATGGAGTCAAAAGAAGGATAAGCTTGTCATCGATAACGAAAATCTTTCCAAATCATCTGAAAAATAACCATTCTTTCTGCAAACCATCTGAAAAATAACCATTCTCCAAATCATATAGTCACTCGCAAAGCCTCTTCCTCTGTTTTTACTATCATCTGCAATTGTACAAGAGTCAAAAACAGGGAAAGAACCATTGCCAATATACTCTCATGTCCCCAACAATCTCCAAACTATAAAGCCTATTCAAACTAAAGCAAGCCGTGGTAGCTAATCCAATGAACATTACAAATCAGTGAAACAAAGCGACTCTCAGACTTGGCTTCAGTTACGTAGTTTTTGCTCAAATTTGAATGATCAAGATGCACAACAAAATCTCTTGAATAACCCAATTAAAACAATCTATATTGATCCAACATTAGCTTTTTCTAGGCAAAGAGATCAGATGACCATCGAGTGCCCTGTATTAGGCTTTGCAAACAATACAAACTCACTGAACATGGAGACGATCATAAACGTTCCCACTAACAAGGGCAAAGCTACATTTGCAAACAATACAAACTCACCGAACATGGATACAATCATAAATGCTCCCACTAACAAGAGCAAAGCTACATTTGCCTGCAACAATAAATACTGCTCAAACACTAAAAAACACAAATCGGTATGCAACGAAATTTTTTTCTCTAATCGAAACTGTTGGCTCTCCAGTTTCTTCTTACTTACGACCTAAGCATGCCCTGTAGCTGGATCACCTGTTGCCTCTGCTCAGGTGGCAACATATTTATCTGCTCCGGAGTCAGGCTCATTACTTGCTGAAGCAACGCCTTCTCCATGTCCGGTGTCAACTGATACATATAAAGAGAATAAGCGCGAGAGTCAGTAAATAAAAGGAAAGAGATCTTTTCGATAATGGTCTGCTAAATCTTGCATATTTTGAAATTAGTCCCTCTAATTAATATTGCTATTACATCCCCCAATTAAGTTATTTTTAAATTAGTCCCTCAAATCATTGAAATTGCTATTAGGTCGCCCAATTCTCACAAGTTGTCTTTCAAATTAATCCCTTTAATTTATACTTCTACTCTAGATTGAGGATCAAAATAAATAAAAAATAAATATATATATATATATGTTATATCCTAAATAATAAACATATAGATACTTATACTATTAGTACTATATCTATATTTACCTATATATTTATATACTTAGCTATTATAATATATAATATCATTATATATATATACGAGAGAAGAGAGACGGAGAGAAGAGACGAGTAAAGTGTATGTTTTTCGGTAACCAAGTCACAAAAAGTTGTGCTTGGATTGAGGTGCATAATCCCCTCCATCAAGTTCAAATGGTTGCATAATCCCCATGCACTCCCTCAACCCATGTGAATGTGGTCCCCATTAACATGAGTGGAGGGGATGTGTGCCACCTGCTCACTACCAACGCGCAATATCAGTACCCACGTCAGGCTACCCCGCTATCAGTGATACCTTATATTACCTCGATAGTACAAACCCAATTATGCGTACTATATAGTAATACAGTATTATTATATATTTATATAACTATTATAAATATTACTAATATGTTGTTGGGGGGGGGGACTATTAGCAATTTTAATAATTTAATGTACTAATTTCAAAATAACTCGAGAATTAGGGGTCATAATAGCAATTTCAATGATTCAAGGAACTAACTTTAAAATATGAAAAGAGTTAACTAATATAAAAAAGCCAATGAAAATCCTGTACAGACATAGGAAATCACAGTATGTGCCTTGGTTTGAAAAGCAGGGCACGTTTCTCAGCATAAAACTTAATATTAGATGGTTATTAAGCACCAAACTTTTTAAACTATCTGATTTTTTTATACAGAATGCTCCACATCAATCTTTTTCCCTACGCAAATCATCAAAGTTTTGTACACATAATCAGAGATAGAGATAGAGAGTAGGATTTACTGGTGGAGGACAAGGCTGCTGACCACCGCCACCTAAGCCTTGTAGCATTTGGCCAGGGCCGAGAGGGGGTGGCCCCGGCAAGTGGGAACCACCTGAAGCCCTTTCTGGAACCCCGGGTCCCCAACGTGGACCTCCTCTTTCTTGTTGCATCGAGTTCCCACCTTGATTGTATTCAGAACCCATGTTTGGTGGCCCTCCCTGAAATCATGCAGACAACAGATGATGTACAACAGATGATTCACAATGCATTTTCCATAGTGATGTATCATGTATAAAATAGCATGCATATTTAAAAAAAAACATGAGCATGTGGTAACAAGGACATGAAGTCGAGACCCCGGTGCAACAAAACAAAATTAGAATGGTGGAGTAGATAAACAAGACTTTAGGTGAGTATTCAAGATTTGTACCATAGATGCGCAGTATCAGCAAGAAAGTGAGAAACATATCACCACTTCTGTATAGTGCTAACATTTTGGTTATTGGAACACGAAAGCAAACAATACCAGCATCAAACTTTCAGATTTTCGCAGATAGAAAGTTTTCAAACAAGTGAGTAAAGTATGAAGAGGAATACGACCACAAAACCAATAACCCAAAAAGGGAAAAAAGCAAAACATTCATACATAGGGTAACCTGAGTAATGATTACAGTTGCCATCTAATATACAACCTATCACCTACGCAACCAAAAATATGATGACCCACATCAAATAAAGGTGATGTGAATTAAGAAAGATTTCAGGCTACGCAAGGAAGAGATTTTCAGCAAGAATTGAAGGGGAGGAAAAAAAAAAATCAAAAACTGTAATTTCCGAACTAGAGTAACTTATAATTGCACCTATATCTGACACTTTAATGGCAAAGGGGACATCCCTTCCCAATGAATCTGCTTCTAGACCACTAAGACATTTACCCCAAGGGAAATGTTCCCAGCAGAGACCAAAATGCAACATCAAATAAAGGTGATGTGAATTAAGAAAGATTTCAGGCTACGCAAGGAAGCGGTTTTCAGCAAGAATTGAAAGGGAGAAAAAATAAAAAAAAAACTGTAATTTCCGAACTAGAGTAACTTCTAATTGCACCTATATCTGACACTGTAATGGCAAGGGGGACATCCCTTCCCAATGAATCTGCTTCTAGACCACTAAAACATTTACCCCAAGGGAAATGTTCCCAGCAGAGACCAAAATGCATTGGAAATTCCTCCAGCGCACGTCGGATAATTCTCGCAATCAATAAGAGGTGTATAACATAACTATTACAGCCATAGGTTTCCAGTCATAAGAGTATATCTTTCCTAAAACTCAGAGCTCAGCCATCTGAACATCTTGTAAAAAACACACAGCTCAGTAACCACATTGTTTCTTCATATGCCTTTCAAAAGTTCAATAAAATTACTAGCTTTGTAAGGTTTCTTTCAGTTTTCAAATAATCCATCTGATATGCTAACATTCATAGAGGCAGAAAATATGACATATGATGTGACAATCTAAAGCAATAGAATACACATATGCTGGGATGTACCATGAACTAATACAACTCTAAACGTATTAATACTATTTGACAGTTTCTTATACAAGGTATAAATGAAAAAAAACTTCCTAAAACAATAATACAAATTCAAAAGAAAAAAATAGCAACAATTCAAATAGTAAACTACAACTTTGTAATTCCAAAAGAAGCATCAAGATTGCAAAATAATAATAATAAATCCAAAAATTTCTGCATATGCATAAATTAGAAAGAAAATTCTCATATAGTTAGTTGTTGATACTCATTAGCAAGACAAATAACACAAACACACCCACATGAGACATTGAATCATACCACCTTCATCCAACACCAAATTCGGTTTCTTTCTTCTTAGTCTTGGAACAACTCAATTACATTTCATACAGGTATCAGATACACCTTTATACAAAGTAACTTCGAAATTACGTCCGAAGGTACATCCTAAATGTATCCACCAAACTATAGGAGCATCCTACTAACAATATGCATCTGACATGGGGAGACAGATATCCTTGCTTCTGTCTCTTGCTTCACACTTGGACATTAATATATCAACTTTCCCCCTTTGTTCCAGACTATTTGATAATGCAGCTGAACTTTGGGTGCTTGCTCCATGCTTGAACAATACTTAAGGTAGATATCCCTGCTCATCAAGCAGCTTTCAAGGATTTTCTGACAAGCCCTCTCTTGGCCATACTTGACCAAGAATTTTGGCTCCAACTAGAGAGTTCATGCAAAGGATTAATAAAAAGTGATCAAATATTCCTCTCCTCAACTGTTTTGGGAAACTTAAGATAATGCTTATTGGGGAGGAAAATGTGATCGTTATGGGCGTTTATAGGTTGGTTACGGTCAGTTGGTCTTGAAGTTCCCTTCCTGTTTCATATTGCGGGTGATGAACTAGGATTTTGAATAACATTGGCCACTTAAAAAAAAAAACTGTTCAGCATGCATATGCATATATTGGACACATCAGTGACATCACACGTCAAATATGGGGAAACATGTATAAGACAAAAGGGCATCACCTATTAGGAATACAAGCTGACTAAAATTGTTTGTGCATCAATTCGGTAGGACCACCAGATGACTATATTTTCAACTATAAATCACAAACATTTCAAGGTGAGTTCTATATCTGACAAATACCAAACAGACACGTGCATGACACTTACATGGCACTATCAGATACTCTGCAGCTGTGTTGGAATTTTCAGAAACAAAACAGAATATGCAGGATCCATGCTGGTTCTTAAAAAATCTCATATGACATTTTGGATCCTGTGAAGAAATTTGTTGCTTAAATAGACTTATAAACTAATCCTTTGATATAAGTTGGACGCTGAGCTCTACTACACAATCAAAACATAAAGGTCTTAAAAGGTTTTCGTAGACATTAGATAAGGCATTAGATTGAGTATCAGATTTCTTTTTAATTGAGTTAGTTACTTGACTAGAAGTCAGGGATATAAATCATTGATATTTTAATTTATCTCCACTTTAATGAAGCAATACCACAATATGAGTTTTTCATGTATATATTATACAGATACAATGCATAAATCAGGCACCACCCTACCATGGTCATGTCCTTGTCCTAATCCTCAAATTTCTGACCATATTAGACTGGCAAACACTTAATTTCTCGACATGGTAGAATTAGTACATAATTTCTTTTGCATTACAGTTCCGTTTTGAGCTTTATCTACGACTAATTCATGGGTAATGAGAAGGAATAGTTCCTTTTTTTGCATTGGGGTTTTGTTTTTATCTCATTTAAGTTACAACATTTGTCCTGGATAAACTTCTACAGACAGAGTCAGAGGGAACAGACGGATAATTTGTATAAAACAACTGACTATCGATACATCCAGATTTATCTTTTACAGAAGAAAAAAGCTACCTTCATGGAAAAAAAATCCAGGAAATTTATTCGTTCTATTAACTTCACGGAGGTCATTAAATACAGAGCCCAACTTCACGTCCCAAGTCCAGGACGCAGAGTTCGTGCCCAGAACGTAAATTTTACGTTTGACTCGTTCAAAAACCAGTTGAACGGCTCAAAAAACCGTTTTACACGATTTGAGGGGGATTACACCCCACTAGGGAGCGATTTTAGGGGTTAGTTACACCCCTTAATCCCCTATAAATAGCTGAAAATCAGCATAACTGAGATCTTTTTGGCAGATCTTCTTTTTGGAGTTCGGGCTGGGTTTTTAGATCTGAAAAGAGGAGAGTTTGGAGTATCATCAAGAGCCGTTCTTGGAGCTTTTCCTTAGCTTGTGAACTGAGTTTCGGTAAAATCATAAAGGATTAATTTCCTTTCTCAAATTAACTCTTCACCGAGTTCTAAAACTCGTTCAGAGTTCCTAAACTCGTGAGAGTTTTAAACTTGGATTGCAAGTTTTTCCCATCAAGAGAAATCAACTAAGTTCCACGAGTCGAAGCGTTCGGATCGTCAATGGGATACAAGAATCAAGCTCTTGACACTAAGAAGAACTCAGCTTTAAACAAAGGCAAAGATCTCTGTCGATTCCTTCTTTTGTAAATCGGGATACCGATATAGAAGAGTTGTAATTTTTTTCTAAGAGAGTTTGCAAAGAGAGATTGTATTCATTCTTTTTCTAAGTCAGTTAGAGAGATAAATACAAATTTTATTCTTATTTCTTCTTTAATTTTCCCACGAACAAAAGATGACGACTCTGCTGGGGATCGAACCCAAAATCTCTGGTTTCGCAGACCAGCTTCACCTATGAAGAAGTCGTGACGCAATTCGACGTCAACCTCGCTGGAACTACGGTCGAAACTCTTGTTGTAGAGTTTGATCAAGCCAAGTATGAGGAGGCACTCCTCTGCATCCCTTAACCCCAAGGCTATGCGCAAGGTCCGCAAAGTCTCTAAGCAAACTAAAGCTCTAATTGCAGCTGAATCACCAAAGAAAGGCCTTTCCTTTGGCATAAATTGCTCAGACAGCCTCTCCTCTGGAGGAGTAGGCGCAGCTTCAGTCAAACTCGTCAGCCGAGTTGAAGATTCTATACCCGTGCCAAAATAACAGGTATCGGGTCACAAAAGGCCTATTACGACGGCAAACCTGATCAGTACTAATGGTGATGCTGCTTCAAAAGCCTTAAGACAGACTAAGAAGAACGTCGCTCGACGAATGAAAAGATCCATACGACGAGCACAACTCCGAGAAAACCGATCTTTCGATCAACGAGCTTTACGTTTGTGAACCAAAACGCAACCCTGAGTTCAGCGTTTCTACTACAAAACACGGGCCTCGCATTCATGAGCCCAAGCATGAGCTCCATGAAAGCCAAGTTGAACGCGACCCTTAGTGGCGCGTTTTTCAATCAAAACGTGGACCTCAGGAAAGCGTGGATTCACCAAAACGCGACTCTCAAGAGCATGTTACCCAATCAAAACACAGTTCTCAAGAGCGCATTATCCAATCAGAACGCAGCCCTCAGGAACGTGTTACCCAATCAGAACGCAACCATCAAGGGAGCGTTTCACCAACAAAACACAGACCTCAGGCTTGTGTTGCTCAAACAAAATGCGACCCTCGCGTTCCCATTCTTAAACGCAGTTCTTGTGTTCCAAATGCTAAACACGACCCTCCTCCAAAATGCGATGTGATACGTCGCGTACAAAAAGATCAACATGGGTTTAAGATTCATGTTC